CTCCAAGGATGGGGGTGGGGGGAGGAGCAGGTAGAAAATTGGAAAGACAGTGAGAAACAGGTGAAGACAAGGGAATGATGATCATTCCTCCACCATGCAGACTGTCAAGAGGTAGAAAAGAAGTTGTCAGGGTGAAAGAAAGAGGAAGAAGATGAGAAGCAAGTCGGTAAAGGAAACAGAAATACCAACCAATGACAACAAGAAGAGTGAGGTAAGAGAAAAAAAAATTGGAAGTAGTTAAAACCTTTGCAAAAGTATTATGTGTTTTAAGTATTAGAAGGGCAGCACTCTACACATATTAGCAGTTCTTAGTCTAGAAAGATGAAGTCTCAGGAAATACATGATTAAGTCTATAAAATAAAGTAATGGATAAAAACCAGCAGAAATATATTAAGTTACAAAATACTACAATTATGAAACCTACAACTTGAAATCTGGAAAAGAACAAATTTTGAACAAATTATGTCCTTCCAAGAGACAGAGGATAACAAATGTATAGAGCCTAGGGAAATAAACTCAAAAAAAAGTGATGGAGATAACTAAAAAAATTAATTTTAAACAAAAAAGATGGCAACAAATAACAAGCTAAAGAGAGTTCTTTGAAAAATAATCAAATAAACAAAGCGTTAATGAGACTGATACTAAAGAGATATTAATTGGAAATATCCAAATGAATATTAGGAAAAAAATGGAAAACATTAGGAAAAAATATTTAATTACAGATTCAAAATAAGTTAAAAAAAATAGTAAGACTATTATGAAAAACCTTATAACAATAAATTTCAACACTTAAATGGAAAGGATAAATTCCTAGAAATAGAGAACTTGCCAAAATTGACCCCAAAAGAAACAGAAAACTAAAATAGTCCTATAGCCATTAAATATGTCTAATTACTAGTTTAAAAATCCCACAAAAATAGCTTTATAAGAAGGAACAGACCACTTCAATTACATATAAGCTCTTTCAGGGAACAGCAAAAGAGAGAATACTCCCAAACTCATTTTATGAAGCCAGTATAATAACCTGGATACCAAGCCCTGATGAGGACAGAACCAAAAAAAAGAAAAAAAAAAAAAGAAAGAAAGAAAAAAAAATTACCAACCAACCTCATTCATAAATAGATACTAAAATCCAAAAGAAACTAAATCGAGGAGAATGTTAAAGATAATACATAATGACCAAATTAGGTTTATTCCAATTACACAAAGGTGGCATATCATCAGAAAAAGTCTAAAAACATTAATTTGAAAAAATATAATTTGCCACCTTAATAAATTAAAGAAAAACCTTATGATGCTCTTATTAAATGCAGAAAGAATCTGATAAAATCCAATACCCTTTAGTGTTTAAAAAAACCTCAACAAGAATTAAAAAGAACTTCAATAATCTGAGAAATGAGAGATTTTTATTAAATATCACTCTTAATAGTGAATTATTAGAAATATGCCCCTTTTTAAAAATCAGGGATGAACACCGTTTCCCACCATCTCAGCTTCCATCCAGTACTGTCCTGAAGGCCCTCTCCAGTACATTAGGAAGATGAAAAATAAATGAGATTTAAGAATTGAAAGAAAGGAACAAAATTGTATTAATTATTCTACAATTATGATTGTCTACAGAAAATCAGTCTGTCTTCATTATTTCTACTTTCTTGCTTCCCATTTACTCTGCAGCTCATTGCAATACACCTTCTTCCTATGCCATGCTTCTAGAACTTCCCCCATCAGTTGTTACCTCAACTCGTTGACCCAACTGTCCCATTGGCCTCCCTTGTTCTGGACTTTACCTGCCTCTCTGGCTGATTTTGCTCACTGTTCTCCACTGGCTCCTTTTTTCCCTTTTTGTCTTTTAATATAAGTATTCAATCCTTTGACTTCAAACTCTTTCAAGCTGGATGTCTCCGAGGTGACATTATTTACTCCTTCAGCCTCAAGCTCCATGTTTATTCAGGTGACTTCCAATACTAACGATTCACAAATTTTTATTGAATGAGTAAGGATGCCCTTCTTGGACGTCACCATGTCCAAAGGTGAACTCACCCTCCACCTACTCCCTTTATTGCCTCCTTCAGTAATTTATTCGCCATAAGCCTGCGAACTGTCTAGGATTCCATCTTCTCCTCCATTCCGCATATTCAACTATTATTGGCTCCTATTAGGTTATTTCTGAGTCTCTCTTGGCTTTGTACCTTGCTTTCCTTTTCAGCAGTCACCAACTTAGTTCAGACTCTGATTATCTCTCTCTTGAATTCCTGCACCTGGTCACCCTGTTTTCAGGCCTTCCTCTAATCCTTTCCGTAAGGAGCAAATCTGATTAAATCTCTCCCCTCTTCAAAATCTTTCAGTGATTCTAATTCCCAAGATAATGTTCAAACTCTTTAGGCATATTTAATAAAACCTTTCAAGAAGACCCTGCTTCTATTCATCTAGCTTTGACTGGTGTAGCAAGTTATCTGACAAGGTAAACACTGTGTAAATACTTACCGAATTAAGCACAAAAAATTACATAAAGTAATAGATATCAAATCAATGGTGGACCATTATAAAAATGTATGGGGGTTATATCCTTACTACTCTTAAGTTAAAATGAGAGGAAAATTGTATCTACCTGTAACTCATTCAAAATTCATTAGACAGAATATAATCTGGTACTGCACTCTCTAGCAGGAATTCAAGACAAATACAATTGCATGCAGGTTACAGACTTGGTATCCTTGTGATACAAAAACTTACCAGGAAAAGATCCTGGGTCATACCAAGCATGACAAGGCTAATCACACATATACACCCTCCCTGCGCCGCCCCCCCCCCGCCCCCAGCCTCATACTGCTTAATTAAAACCTTATGTATTTTTGTTCAAATACTTTACAAATTATCAAAATGAAAACCTGCTTCATTTTACATAAACTTCCTATTTATTTAACTTCTGTCCTAGTTGCTTCCAAAATTAATTTGAAATCTATTTCCTGATTATACACAGAAGCTAAAAATTTAGGAATAATGCTGAATAATGTGGACCAAGTAAAAAATCTAAATTTCTGCTTGGAATTAAAAATTCTTAAAATCCTCACAGAGCTGATAAACACAATTATATGTTTGAATACTAAGATACTAATAAGTTTCTAAAAGCTTCTTAGAATATAAATGGAAAATGTCATAAACTGTACATAAAGCTTAAGACATGGTATTACATAACTATTTTTATCAATTATTTTACATACAGTATTCTAAATGTGCTTGACTGTATTTATATACTACCCTGTAGTATGTGCATCTGCTGTTAAATATGGAAAATCTAACACCTTTTTCATTTCCCTCATTCTGCAAGGTGTACAACGGAGGGTAGAGAGATTATGTGGGTCACTTTCGGCCTCAATGAAATTCCCTAAAATGAGCCTTTAAAGAGGTTCTAAAGAGGGGAGACTAGAGTCTGGCAATCATAGTCACAGTGACACAAATTCTTTTAAGATCCCAGTCTAGTAAAAGTAGTACTGGGACAAAGGCTGAAATAGCTCTCTGGTCATCAGGCTCAGATTAAATATCTACTCAATCAAAATTGAGCTAATTTACCAAAGTCATCAACTTCACTGCTGAAGTCAAACATGATTTGGACCAGAGATGAACTTCGGTGTGTCCTCAAACAGAAAAAAAAAAAAATTTTTTTTATACTTAGATCCCCATATTCTAGCCTACACATTCCTCCACCAACACACATTTCAAGCATTTTTCTCTTTTGAAAAAGATTCCTAAGTTACCCTATGTCTCTAAAACAAAATGCCTTCAGTCTGCCTTTGAATCTAATTAAAATTAAGAAACTTTTAATACCTTTAATAACTCTCAAAAGCTGGACTAAGCTCTTCCCTGGTATCTTCCCTTTCTTACTAGCCTCCCTCCAAATCCAGAAAAAACCAGCACAACAGAAAACACAAAACAACTAGCCACATGTTCTGAATGCTGGGGAACGTGATTCTCCACTGGTTTAGGCTACAAAGAAAGCCTATGAGTAATCAAAAATCCTTAATCAAAACAAAGTTAAAAGCTACCTCCCTTCCCGCTCCCCAGCCCCAGTATAATTTCTCCTTTTCTCTTTAATCCACTCAAGTGTTTCCTTGGAATTTTAGCGGCCTCCAAACAGCGGATGGTAAGTTCATCTCAATGTCAGCCAGGGCAGAGACATGCAAAAAATCACTAACTTGGAAGGTTATTTAGGACAATAATGTCTTTCACTGCCTTACTCCTCCCACTCGGGCCCCACTTGACCTACTACCAATATTTAGCTGGGAGAAAAAAAAAAAAATCTGTCCACAGGCTTTCCCCCCAGCAGCTCCTCCTGTGGGAACCCGACGCACACCCGGAGCCGGCAGGAAGACCCTGGCCAGGCAGGGACATCAAGGTCTCCCGGCTTCGCGCACCCCTCCCCACTCGCCCGCTGCTGCACTCCGCTCCCCGCACAGGCGTCCAACTATTCTTGGATCTACTCACATCCCTAGATCTCGTCTGGCCGCCCTCCCCCCTTCCTCCCCTGGTGTCCTCTGTCGCCCCGAGGCTGACCTAGCAAAGCCCCCGGCGGGCGCACACACTCACCCACCTGGGCCGGATCTGGGGATCCCCGGCAGCGCGCTCCACCCTTCACTCCTCGGCCAGCTCCAGCACAAATGCGCCGGCCTGTCCCTCCGCCTCCCCTCCAGCCCAGCCCAGGGCGGCACCGCAAGGTCTCTCTAAGTCACCTTTGCTCGGCCCGCCCCCGGCTCCAGCGAGGTCAAGCAGAGGCGCGGCCCGCCCGCCAGCGGCCCAGGACTCCGGTGCCGGGCCGCCAGAGGTCCGTGCAGCGCCCTTCGGCCGCAGAGCCAGAGCCGCCCTCCCCTCCAGGGCTCGCCGGGGAGAGTGCGAGCAGCGCGGGGAACGGCCTGCGGCAGGCAGCTCCGCGCTGCCGCTGTCGTCGTCCAGTCCCTCCTCCCGAGGCCCCCCTCCCGCGTGGCCCGCTCCGCGGAGGCGCAGGTAGGGACGTGCCCCGGCCGGCGAGAGCCTACACACAGCCCCCGAGAGCGAGCAGGCGGACTGCGCGCCCCGCAATTCTCGGGGAAGGAAGTAAGGAAACTGCTACTCGTGCTCTGCGTGCATCCCGCGGAGGCTCCTGCGAGGTCCTAGAGCGGGCTGTGTGCTCAAGCCCTCTCCTGGCGACGCCTGCCCTGACAACTTCTAAATGGCCAGCCCGCCCCTGGGGAAAAGCAGAGGAATCCTCTTTGGACTCTTGCACCTCAAAGGTAACCGACTCTTACTCTGGCTTACACTTTAGCGCGAGGGTTTCTGATTCCAAAACAAACACTAGTCCTCTTGTCCTTTATTTTTTTAATGCACGTTCTAGGCTACCATTTGGGCAATGAGGAAAACAATGGTATTAATTCTACTAATGTGAAACCTAGATGGTTTCTTATTCCGACTAGGCTTGAAGGGTAGACCAAGACGCCCAAGGACAGTAAAACCACGTAAATAATACACTCAAGTGGGGTGTTCAGGCTAAGGAAATTTCTGTGAGGCTCGGGTGGGGGTGGGATACACATAACTTTCAGTTCCAACGGTTTTAAACAATACAAATCTGTCCTCAAACTTTAGGGAGCAGAGTAATAACTGAACCAAACTGAGTATTTCTTTAACAAGATCACGGGGGACTTTAAGTTCGCTGTCCCAACAGTGGTGGCTGTAACTGTGCTACAGATATAAAATGCGTAAAAGATGATGCAACAGTACACTAGAAAATTTGGAATTTATGTCAATGAGGTTTCATAGTGTCTTTGAAAAGTCCGTTTGTTTTTTTCTTTTTCCCCCATTCTAAACTAAATGGTATTGTGAAATGTCACATTAGGCACTAAAAGCGGCTGCTACACAATCTTCCTCCCTGGACTCTAAAAATCAGAGAATTCAGTTTACAAAAGTGGTACTAGGCAGCAAAGACAACAAAATGTTTTAGAGGGCAATTTACAGAGCACCTAAACTGTGTCAGGCACTGTACTGAGGAGCTTCACATAAAGTAACTCATTTGTATTCTCATTTTCAGATTTGGAAATGGAATTTCCAAACATATCTTAATTTGCTCAAGGTCAAGATATAGATCCCAATTGGTCTGCTCTTTTTACTCTTGCCTTTGTACATTTCATTATACATTCATTCACATATTTATTAACTGTCTACTACATGCCAAGTACTTATGCTAGACACAGATGCTACAAAAATACCTAAGATACAGTTGCTTCCTTAAGGGGCTCTTTAGAAATACAGAATCAGACAGGTAAATATATAATGATACAATGTGATAAGTGCTCCAACAGCAAGGACTCCCAGAACAGGAGGGATATCTAAGCCAGTTTTGAAGGGTGGAACCTGGGATGAGGCAATGGTCACAGTCATCTGACAGCACAATCCTTAGAACTCTATCCCCACAGAGTGGCGACAGGGAATCTGTTGGGTGGGGGGAGAGGGGGTACAGGGAGACAGGCAACTGAGAGATAGGAAGGAAAAACAAGTGACTTTAAGGGGTGAGAGGAGGAGGAGGAAGAAGGATGAACACAGGACAGCTTCCATGATTGTGGCTTGGGATCCGGAATAGGTGTAATTCTGCTTTAGACACACTGGTATGAAATGCCTGTGATAGAATCATATGTAAATGTTTAAAAGTCAGCTGGATATACTGGTTCATAGCTCAGCTTAGGAGAGATCTACTGTGGAGATATCGGAGTCGTCATGGATTTCTGTTTGAAGGAATGGCTAAGATCATCCACGGAGAATGCCAAGTGAAAAGACCACTGAAAGAAACCAGGGGACAATAACATTCAAGGCACAGGCAGACGAAAAGATGCTTCAGAAGAAAACTGAGGAGAAGCTGCTCTAAAGGAAAGAGAAGACAGAAGAGGTAGGCACCACAGCAATCACTGAGAAGAATCCCCAAAACAAGTAGCAGTCAAACGCCAGATCCATCACAGGACAAGCAAGGTAATTTAAGGGTATCCTCTGACTTAGCAGTAAGGAGATGGCAAGAATGGTTTCAGTGGGCTAGTTGAAGAATAAAGAAGTAGAAACAAAGTATCACATTTTCTAAAATAGAATTGGAAAGGCGTGTAGGGAGACCAGCTATAAGGGAGTAGAGAATGCAAAAGAAGAGAGGAGCTGTTTCTGAAGCAGGATGGAAGGAGACAGATGCCAAGGAAAGGAAAGAAAAAAGAGACTGGGGGAGGGAGTGGCAGGGAACTGACAGCATAGACAGCCGCTGCCTCATGTTTAACAAAGAATTTTGCTCAGAGCAGAGGGAGAGGAGGAAAGTGAAGACAAGAGAGAGGTGAAAGCCTGAAAAGTACAAACATTAAGAAATGACTGAAGGACTTTGAGCAGTCCAGGAAACTGATGAAGAGGAGACCTTGACTTTATAAAGCTCTAAGCCCACAGGAGGGCATGGTTTCTCTCCAAAGATTATCAGCATCTCATCCAAAGTAGCAATACCTTCCAGTTGGTTCCAATAGAAGGTCCAAATCTCTCCATTACACCACAAACTGAGTATCACTATCCTAATCATACATCTGGATTCTAGCTCTTTAGCAGTCAACTCAGGAGACTTACCATGGGACCACAGAATATTTTATAAGTGAGCTTAAGCTAGTTTTAAATAGGCAAGTTCCTACCTTGGAAAACCTGGTTTGACTAATATCAAAGGGAGCTCCATAATACACAGAACAAGAAGGAGACCAACGACAGCACTGTGTGACATTTTAGCCACTTGTGATACCACTCTCTGGGTAAGGAAAACTATAGAAACAATAACTCATGAAGCCAATTTCTAGCCTTCTGTTTTTTGTTTGTTTTTTTTCCCCCACATAGGATCTACATTTAACATGTGGCTTGACCTCATGGCCCTGAGATTAACAGTTGCATGTTCTACCAACTGAGCCAGCCAGGTGCCCTTTTAAAAAAAATTTTTTTTTTCAATGTTTATTTATTTTTGGGACAGAGAGAGACAGAGCATGAACGGGGGAGGGGCAGAGAGAGAGGGAGACACAGAATCGGAAACAGGCTCCAGGCTCTGAGCCATCAGCCCAGAGCCTGACGCGGGGCTCAAACTCCCGGACTGCGAGATCGTGACCCGGCTGAAGCCGGACGCTTAACCGACTGCGCCACCCAGGCGCCCCATGGTGCCCTTTTAAATAGAACTCTCAAACAAGGCTAAAGACAGTTGTGGCATTCACATTCTCCAATGTCTCCCCCAAGAATATCACCCCAAGAACACCTAATAAATTTCCCTTTAGTAAATCAAACTCAAACTTTACAGCTTACTTTATATATTGCAGTTTTTTCCAAAAACACAAGTTGTGTTATTTACAAGTAAAATATGCGTATATAATGCACCTCATTTAATGTAGAGGTCGTATGGAAACCTTGAATATCTGGGTCATATCAGAGCATCCCCAAATAAGCAAAGAACACTCACATACCACAGAAATAGAAAGACCCAAATCCAGGCATTAAGGACTGTTCTCATTATAAACCCCTCAATTTCTCCATACAGAGCCAGCTTGTTCTTACTGTGAACATAATTTTACCGAGTTTGGTCATCTGGTTTTCTTTTTAATAAACAGAACATTAGAAAGAGTAAGGCAGAAGGGATCAGTATTCTGTTACAGACAGGCACACAGTTGATCTAAAACTCAAGAGAAAAAAAATTTTAAACCCATAAAGAGCAAAACTAAATTCAAGGGCATTAGCAGGACTGGGCCATTTTGTCAAATTACAGAGTCCTATAAACATTATCCCCTGAAGGCATCTCTGCATTAAGATACAGAGTAATTATGAACATACAAAAGGACAGCCCAGAAAAGATAAAATTAAGTACTAAAAATTTAGCATAAGATGTAAATGGGTAATATTTAGAATAACTGTCATCAAAGAGAGTAGAATAAAAACAAGTTTTGCTGCTGCGGAGGCTGGGATCACTTCAATCGATTGGATCCCCATTATGTGCCAGGTACTGTACAAGGGGTTTTGCCAATATGATTACATTTACCTTTCAAAACATTCTTTTGTGATTGGTCATCACTTTAAAAAGGAAATTGTATATGAAAACTGAGGCAAACAGATTAAATAGCGGAGCATGATTAGACCCAGGTCTCTGTGAGTTCAAAGCTTTTTAATAAAATTTCCAGATACAGAAATGTAACTTACAATTCCAGATAAATAAGGCATTACTATACCTAAATATTCTGCTCTGACCTCCATTATACTATTAAATTCTTTTTTTTTTTTAATTTTTTTTTCAACGTTTATTTATTTTTGGGGGACAGAGAGAAACAGAGCATGAACGGAGGAGGGGCAGAGAGAGAGGGAGACACAGAATTGGAAACAGGCTCCAGGCTCTGAGCCATCAGCCCAGAGCCCGACGCGGGGCTCGAACTCACAGACTGCGAGATCGTGACCTGGCTGAAGTCGGACGCTTAACCGACTGCGCCACCCAGGCGCCCCTACTATTAAATTCTTATATTAGTTCTTAGCCATTTGAAAAGCTAACTTTGATGATGTCATTTATCTTTTAATTATTTGGGGGGCCTTTTCATGATCTATAATCATATTTCTCACAAGGAAATCCATAAATACTACTGAGAACCTCAGAGTTGATATCTCATAGCATTAAGAGATGCTTAGGAAGATGCCACTTCCTAAATGAGTCCTATGCTGTATATACATATTATTCATCTATATACATTTGATACCCACACCTGATACTGAGGTGTTCACATATTTTCATTGTACAGAAACTAGCCTACAGTTGGTTAGGAAAAAGACAGATTTTTAAAAGGCCCATAAGACTTTCAGACCAGTGCTGTTAATACTCACTTACTATATGGTCTCCCTTATTGTAAGATGAAAATATCAAGGTTCAAAGAACTTAAGTAGCTCTTTGTCACTTGAATAATAAGGATGGAAAGAACACAATCATTCCACAAATACTCAAATTTTCTTTAGACAATACCACCTTCTCCCAAAATGAGTTAAATCCAAAGTTAAAGACACAAAAGCTCCAAAATGCCATCAGAGAAAAGGGGTCACGAGTGTTAGATAGCATCCTACAATAATAACTGCTGATTTGTACTCAGGGCTTACTATGTGTCAGGAACTATGCTCAGCATTTTGCTTACATTATGTTATTTTATCCTCATGACGAATTTAAAAGTCTAAAAGTCTAATTAAACTTTAGGCTAATCTACTCTTGCACATCCAGATTTTCACAGAGAAGTAATCATGAGGCTGTATTTTTAAGCAGTTTAAAAATTAGCATAGGTTGGCTTCTCCAGAAATTAAATTACTTCTAATTTAGCATTTACCTTAAAACTATACATCTCTAAAACAAAGACGTTATTGACACATCCAGCAGGTGCCACAGAAGAGATGTTAATGAGATTTGGTTTTACGATGTGTTAAGTATTACCTGAATCCCTAGACACCATAACTTGTTCATTTTAAAAATGTTCTACAATGCTGTTTAGATTTATTTAGATCACTACATCATGCCTCATTTAAATAAGCTAGAATATGACATCACCAAAAGTAGAAATGCTGAGGGGATGTTTTCAAATAGTATTGGAAGAATCAACCATTTAAAATGCTTAATGAACAGGGGCCGCTGGATGGCTCAGTCTGTTAAGCATTCGACTCTTCATTTCAGCCCAGATCATGATCTCATGGCTCATGGGTTTGATCCTACAAATCCATGAATGCCTGCTTGAGATTCTCGCTCTCATTCTCCCTCTCTCTCTGCCCCTCCCCCGCTCATGCTCTCTCACACACGTGCTCACTTTCAAAATAAACAAACTTAAAAAAAGTTCAATGAAGAATTATGTTTTCCTCTGATAGTTAATACAATTCTATTGGCTTTCTGGAAGTTTGTTTTAAATGAATTTCAGATCATTTACATATTTTTTCTCCAAATAAAATACAAAATTTGTGGTGTACATAACAAAATTGGCATTAAAAATTTTTTAACATGAATTCACAAGACTTCTGTTATTATTTTTTTAATGTTTGTTTATTTTTGAAAGAGAGAGCGCGTGCGCATGAGTGGGGGAGGGGCAGAGAGAGAGAGAGGGGGAGACACAGAATACAAAACAGGCTCCAGGCCCTGAGCTATTGGCACAGAGCCCGATGAGGGCTCGAATTCACAAACCGTGAGATCATGACCTGAGTCGAAGTCAGATGCTTAACCAACTGAGCTATCCAGGTGCCCCCACAAGGCTTCTGTTCTAATCACAAGAAAATAAAATGTTACATCTTTACATATACGTATCTCATATATATGAGAGAAATATACAAAACCATTTTCATCTGCCTTGTTTTATCAAAACGTAGTTTCTAACTAAAAGGTACAAAAAATTGTAACAAGAATAAGAAATGTAGTGTCTTAAACTAAAACGTTGAAGACTGAACATATATGTAGAAATTAACAGAATGGAAAAGAAGGCCTATGGCTGCTTGGCTTGCATTCAGAAAAAGAATTACTAATGGATAAACATATCACTCTTACCAATATTTGGGAAAATGGCAAATTTTGAATGGGAGAAAGCAGGGGGAAAAGAATACAAGTTATTTCACCCATTGAGCTCAGTTCACACAGATTAGTAGGACAGCACTCTGTTTTCTAAATAAAAATACTGTGTATTTTTCTTATAAAACCTCTGGTTTCCACAGTATTTTCGCAACCCTCTTGTTGAAATGCCACAAGAACTCTGAGTAGAACTTTAAAACATAGTTGATAAATATAGCTATATAATTAGATATGAACCTAAGTTACTTCAGAATCATCTTGCTTAATCAAGAATAAATGAGTTTTAAATTTTAGCGAAAAACAAAGCTTTCACTTTCTTTGTTAAGACTATTTTCTCCTACCTTTGGACAATTTGAAAGCAATGACTTATTGGATGATTGAGTATGTGACACCCAGACAGTTACTGAAAAATTCAATTCCAACTACCTACCCCTTCTTGTTTAGTGAAGAGATTAAGGCAATCACTCAAAGCTACACAAGTTTCTCTGGAAGCTTCAGAGACAACTTCAACTTTCTGAAGAAATGATGGAAGCATGTCTATAAATAAAAATAAATAAATAAATTAGTGTGATTTTTAAGACCACAAAAATTTTATATTATTTTTTAAAAGTAATCTCTATACCCAATGTGGGGTTCAAACTCACAACCCTGAGATTAAGAGCTCCAAGTTCTACCGACTGAGCCAGGAAAGACCACAAACATTTTTATATGGACTAACTTTATCTTTCCTTCTAGCTGCCTTAAACAAAGGATATAGTATATTCCTTGAGCATCATTAAGTACCTACTGTATGCAGGGCACATAAATTGGTACAGTAAAAGAAAAGATGAACCCTTGTCCTAAGAAGGACTATATCCTGAAGAGTCAGGACTAAAACAAAACAAAACAAAACAAAGTTTATAGGAATAAGTAATATAATGTTTAAGAAAAGCAGTTAACATTTCCTTTCATGATATTCTATGCTAGATAAGTAGTTTTATTCAAAAGCCAAGTGCTAGAAAAAGATAAAAATAATACTGTAGTTGACATGATGGCTAACATATCTAAAGGCAGCATTAACTCAACTTCCTCTAGTGCTTATTGGATAAATGTTTGGCATGGATAGGTCTTTGCACTCTCACAAATGTGTCCCTCTGGGGGCCCAGTATCTTTTGGATATAAGTTGGGAACAAAAAAAATGGTAATGTTACGATCATCCCAGGTTCCCGAAGGAAAATCTTAATCCATTTACCTATTACAAACAA